AGCACCATTGCATCTACATCAGCCATTGCAAATTGGTTGTTGTACACGGGCTTGTTGAGCTGCAGAGTCAGGGTCTGTTCATGTCTCTCCCCTCTGGTGAACTGATGCAACTTTGCAAAGCAGAGTGGAACTTGGTCTGCAATTGCTCTGGTGCGGGGCTTCACAATTCGAGCAATTTCTTTGCCTTGCATCAGCTTTGTTTTAGCAAGTCTCATAACGGTGTTGAGCTCGGGCGGCTTAATGACTAGTCTCTTGTAGACGCGATGCTGCAGTATATCGTGGGCCAGTCGTTCCAGTGCTGCCTTGCCATTCGCTGCTTCTTCCTCTGTGTCAGCTTCGAGCACAGCCAGCTGGTAAGCAAAGGAGTTGTTCTGATACTTTCCACGACGCTCCCGGAAGCGGCAGTTTGAACTCTCCAGCAATGCCTCTGCCTCGGCCCGGTGCGTTGTGAGTAAGAAGTTGCATACGTCGCACCCTGGCATGCTCACCATCTTAGTATGGTATTGTCGGCGGCGGCGATCACGGTCGTCCCTGGCGACGGCAGGTATAGGAGAAAACCTGATGTTGTCCATGTCACATCTACCAACCAACAAGCACCAACACCAGAAAAAGAAAACTCCCGAAAATGAAGATAAAGGCGGACTACAGCATGGCCATAATTATATGGCTCAGTGGTTGGAACATTGCTGCTGGTAAGGTCCTTGGTTTGAATCCTGGCAGTGGAACTTGTCAATTTGTGTCTCCTACTTTTCGCTACTTTTCATTTCCTCACTTAAAGCTGAGGAATATCACCTGACATTCGAAATCTTCTCATTGGAAATCTTACTAGTACTCAAATTTCAGAAATTTATGGTACTCAATATTTTCGGTATGAGGGCAAAAGGCCAGGTTAGGTGAACAGAAATTTTAGGCATAGAGGAGCAATTCCCTATTGGATTATGTGTGTTAGTGTTTATTCGGTGTGTTGAAATTTTAGATATGAAACAGACGCACCGAAAGTACCGAAAATAAAAGTACAGGGAAAAATGAGTGAAATTACAGTAGTTGATGTAGGCGCATGGCAGTGTCAGTGTACTAGCACACATGCCTCACCTCTTGCAAACACCGTTAGCAGAACACACAGATACAGACACACACACACACACACACACACACACACACACACACACACACACACACACACACACACACACACACACACACACATACACACATACACACACACACACACACACACACACAAGAAATTCCTTTTGTAACTAAAGCCGTTTAGGAAAGTTCCCTTAAATATGGACAAGCAGTGACGTTTCCTTCACTCACCCTATGGTCCACTTGTCTTGCGATTGTATCTGGAAGATAAGTCTCATGTGAGTGCGGCGGGTAGCCTTCGTCCAGACATTGACCGGTGCTGTTAGAATCTCCCGATCCCCATCCACCTGTAGGTAGTTTGTGAGGCATACATCTTGCACGGCACATAGCGCGGACAGCACCTTCTCCTCCTCCTTCACGGACACAACAGAAAAGTAGTGGTAGTCCTTCAGGTTTTTAGCTAGCTTCTTCAAGTAGTCTACACTGTATTTGTCGAGAATGTAGACTGTAGCTTTTGTTGAGGATGATCCGACCTTGGCGGGTGAGAAGTGGGCAATTACCACCATCTTGGAGAAGGCTTGGAAGTGCCGTTGCAGCAACACTGGGTTGCGAGCAATCTCGTCATCAAACACGTCGACAGCCACAGCCCACACATGTAGAGTCAGTGGTCGGGGAACATCAAAGTAGCTGAACGGTTCGGTGAAGTGAGGGCTGCAGTGAATGAAAGAGAGGGAAAAAACAGCAGAAAGAGACCATTAGCCTGCGAAGAAACTTGGAATGTCCCTCAAGACAGCATTGCAAAGAAGCAAAGTCAACCACAGTTAGAACTTTGAAAGTGGTCCAAAAAACGGAAATATATTCATGACACAAAGAGTGAAATTCCCTGCTACAGGACACAGCAGTGCATCATAATGAGTGAATACTGAACACCGTTTCAGGTTAGCGATAGAGAGCTCGACAGAAGTATCACTTCTTTCCACACAGTTCTAAGCCAAACAACCTTGGCAAAACCAAATAGTGGAATTTTGCATATGATTACAGTTCACAGCTCTCTGTGGTCCATGATCCTCGACCACGCACTGGCTGATGTCAGATACTAGAGAGGTTAAGATGCGCGTTATTTCCGACGTGACGCGCAATTTCACGTCAAATTTGGCGTAAAACTCCAAATTTCGACGTGAGCAGCAGGTCACTTGCGTTGATTTTTCGACGTGCGAGCAAATGACGCGAGCTGAACTTTCGCGTTACGTCAGAAATAACGTGCATCTTAACCTCTCTAGTACTAGCTGTTTCAACCGTGTCACTGAGGTCTCCTCAACAGAGCTCACAGTCAATGGTTATACTTGGTCATACCTGGCAAAGATCTCGGGAACCGGAGGACACACGACTCTCTGAGAGCCATAGTCCTCGACCACACACTGGCTGAAGTCCAAATCGCCAGAGATGGTGTTTAGAACCTTCTTGACTTTCCTCTTCTGCAGGCCCTTCAGGTAGTCTAGAGCTTTGCGTTGCTCTTCGTCAGTAGCAAAACCCAGCAACAGACAGGAGCAGGCACGGCTCTCCTTCCTGCCCAGAAGTATACCCGGTGATATTCCCTCGGCAAACGCGTCAGCAACAGCGAGACCACGCCTGACATTCTCCGGGACATTGCCGATTAGCACCAGATGCAGCGTCATCTTCACCTGTATCGGCCATGTTTGAAATCTGCTGTCCTGCATCAAAAAAGAAAGCATATCACAAGCAACAGAGTGTTCATAAAAATAAAAGGGCCAAGGAACTACAAGTTACGCTATAATGTCCACTAACACCACCAGTTACTTGTAGTTCCTTGGTCCTTTTATTTTGTATAAATTAATCATTGGCTCTCCATCCGAGTCCATTCTAAGAGAGTGTTCATTCAACATGGAGTTAAAACACTTTTTTCATCCTCTTATTATTGTTTAAACTAGCTCTGCCTTTCGGTATTCAGCTCTCTATCGGACAGCCTGGAACCTCTCTGTTTATAGCTGAGTACAGACGATTACCGGTGACACGAACGCAAAGCGCCTGCACTATTGCCAGCTGTTATGGTTAAAAGTGGCAGAAGACAACCGTTCGCGCTAACGTCTTGCACCCATCCATGTCAAGAAGACTTGATGTCCATCATTCAACTGCAAACATGAGCATGTAGCCTACGCAATGCTTATTAGGGTTCTAGCCAAATTTGGTATGGGGGGGGGGAGGGGCTGCCCCCCCCACCCCGTGAAAAAGTGGCACCCCCTACTCATTTTCCGATTTTCGTTTTTTTATGCAATTCAACGAATATGCAGTCGAACGTCACTATTAGATGGTTCATAAAGGCACATTTGTCTGGGGCAAAGTCGGGGATTCGCCACATACGCTGCATTTAGCGTTGCAAGACAATATTGGAAAGTGGAAAATAGGTATACGGGGTAGCTGTTTCCCATACCCGCCCCCTACTATTTTGACCTGGCTGGAACCCTGCTAAACACGATTATCATTCTGCCACTTAACTTAAAGGGGAAGTATACCCTAAAATCAAATTTTCACCAGTTGTAGTCTTCGGGGTGCTGAGTCGAATGGTCTTGGTCCGAGGAAGCTGAGACGCTCCCTTCCTTCTTTATTTCCAATCGAACACGCGCACTTCCACCGAAACTGGGTGACTGCGCCCTACTAGATGGGGATTTGTATGCAAAAAGTCACTAAAAACGCCGTTTCGTTCTTATAAAAGCACGGGTGACCACGATCGGTCCATATGTTGTAGTCTTTTGGACGCTAAATCGAATGGTCTTGGTCCGAGGAGGCTGCGATATAGCGTTCAGCCCAAATTCCCAATCGAACGCGGTAAAATACGGTCCCGTACGAGATCCCGTACCGATGCGTACAAAAGTCACTGGCCTGGTCACCGTGCCAGTGCATGCAGTGCAGTGCACTGACTGTGCCGGCCGGCTACAGTCTATGATCTAGTCTGTGACACGATCGAGGGCATGCCGGCATCTCGCTCTCATCCAGGGTTCAAGAGTTCATAACTGAAACTCACCGAATGAGCTTTCGGTCTATGTTATGTATGTAGCCGGCTAGCCAGACATGTCGGCAAGGGTGCATGACGGGAAGAGTTCAAAGTGTGCTGCAGTGCTTACACATGGATTACAATGACTGTCATGTTCTTTGAATCTGGGTGTGAAATGCCTTCTTTTTCCTGGTTCATGGCGACACTAGCCGCTCAGCACTGCGTGTTTTATTTTTCCAGCCACTGCGTTTGCTATTCCGTATTCGACGCTCTTGACTTTGCATGAACTCAGCAATGGCTGGCAAAGAGACCCCGACCAGTTTGCGTACAGAAGCCATAGATGTATTAGCATATGCAAGGGAGCCAGAGTTTACCACTGAAGAGCTCCAGGCGGGTGTTTCGCAGTGGCCACTCGTCAAGATGGCGGCAAATCCGAGAGTACAAAAATTTCGACTCTGCCTATGTGCGTGGCGGATGCGAATCTCGCACGTGCATGCAAAATCTTGCCTTCTGCCAGAGCTGGGTAGAGCAAGTGTACGTGTGTAGCCAGTGTAGGAACGAACGACGACCTTTTCCGAGAGAGAATGTGGCTCTTTTCATCCCAACATTTTACTCGCCACGCTCTCCCTCCCAGCTTATTGATACGAGTATGTGCTACCGAGTAGAAGTCTCCATCTTCAGAGTAGGCCAGGCAGAATCGCAAGGTTGAAATACTTGCTCACTTGGTTTTTTTGGTCCTTTGAGGTGTTGATGTGATCGTTGTGTACAACTCGAAGTGACAAACTTGAGACCCCCGCGCCACAAAAAACTGAGGCGCGCCACAAAGTTTCGTTTGGCTATTCAATGAAAGGACGTATGGAAGCAGGGATAAAAACTATCGTGGCTGCCGGCAAAACTCCTAGTAATGTAATAAACGGGGGTGTGACTTTGGTAATTCCAAGGAGAATGTACGCACGGCCATTCCACAACGAAGACGAACTACGAGCTCAAAAACACTCCGATTTTCAAACAAACGACGCAGGAACGAAGACATGGCCACAGTGTTCCCGTGTGGCCTTCAAAACACCTAATTTTACTTCGATAGCGGCTGGTTCAGGGCAAATTCAGGCCCAATTCGACAGCGTCGTACCGCTGAGATTCGCCCAAAACACGAGGAAATGTACGGTAGATCCAAATGCGTACGCATTTTGCGTACGGGGACGACTGGCCAGAGTTCATGCACTGCAAACACCCGTGTGCAGTGCACTGACTGTGCCGGCCGGCTACAGTCTATGATCTAGTCTGTGACACGATCGAGGGCATGCCGGCATCTCGCTCTCATCCAGGGTTCAAGAGTTCATAACTGAAACTCACCGAATGAGCTTTCGGTCTATGTTATGTATGTAGCCGGCTAGCCAGACATGTCGGCAAGGGTGCATGACGGGAAGAGTTCAAAGTGTGCTGCAGTGCTTACACATGGATTACAATGACTGTCATGTTCTTTGAATCTGGGTGTGAAATGCCTTCTTTTTCCTGGTTCATGGCGACACTAGCCGCTCAGCACTGCGTGTTTTATTTTTCCAGCCACTGCGTTTGCTATTCCGTATTCGACGCTCTTGACTTTGCATGAACTCAGCAATGGCTGGCAAAGAGACCCCGACCAGTTTGCGTACAGAAGCCATAGATGTATTAGCATATGCAAGGGAGCCAGAGTTTACCACTGAAGAGCTCCAGGCGGGTGTTTCGCAGTGGCCACTCGTCAAGATGGCGGCAAATCCGAGAGTACAAAAATTTCGACTCTGCCTATGTGCGTGGCGGATGCGAATCTCGCACGTGCATGCAAAATCTTGCCTTCTGCCAGAGCTGGGTAGAGCAAGTGTACGTGTGTAGCCAGTGTAGGAACGAACGACGACCTTTTCCGAGAGAGAATGTGGCTCTTTTCATCCCAACATTTTACTCGCCACGCTCTCCCTCCCAGCTTATTGATACGAGTATGTGCTACCGAGTAGAAGTCTCCATCTTCAGAGTAGGCCAGGCAGAATCGCAAGGTTGAAATACTTGCTCACTTGGTTTTTTTGGTCCTTTGAGGTGTTGATGTGATCGTTGTGTACAACTCGAAGTGACAAACTTGAGACCCCCGCGCCACAAAAAACTGAGGCGCGCCACAAAGTTTCGTTTGGCTATTCAATGAAAGGACGTATGGAAGCAGGGATAAAAACTATCGTGGCTGCCGGCAAAACTCCTAGTAATGTAATAAACGGGGGTGTGACTTTGGTAATTCCAAGGAGAATGTACGCACGGCCATTCCACAACGAAGACGAACTACGAGCTCAAAAACACTCCGATTTTCAAACAAACGACGCAGGAACGAAGACATGGCCACAGTGTTCCCGTGTGGCCTTCAAAACACCTAATTTTACTTCGATAGCGGCTGGTTCAGGGCAAATTCAGGCCCAATTCGACAGCGTCGTACCGCTGAGATTCGCCCAAAACACGAGGAAATGTACGGTAGATCCAAATGCGTACGCATTTTGCGTACGGGGACGACTGGCCAGAGTTCATGCACTGCAAACACCCGTGTGCAGTGCACTGACTGTGCCGGCCGGCTACAGTCTATGATCTAGTCTGTGACACGATCGAGGGCATGCCGGCATCTCGCTCTCATCCAGGGTTCAAGAGTTCATAACTGAAACTCACCGAATGAGCTTTCGGTCTATGTTATGTATGTAGCCGGCTAGCCAGACATGTCGGCAAGGGTGCATGACGGGAAGAGTTCAAAGTGTGCTGCAGTGCTTACACATGGATTACAATGACTGTCATGTTCTTTGAATCTGGGTGTGAAATGCCTTCTTTTTCCTGGTTCATGGCGACACTAGCCGCTCAGCACTGCGTGTTTTATTTTTCCAGCCACTGCGTTTGCTATTCCGTATTCGACGCTCTTGACTTTGCATGAACTCAGCAATGGCTGGCAAAGAGACCCCGACCAGTTTGCGTACAGAAGCCATAGATGTATTAGCATATGCAAGGGAGCCAGAGTTTACCACTGAAGAGCTCCAGAGTTTCCGTGACGGTGGCGAGGAGCACGTTGAAAATGAGGAGGAAGCTGCTGCTGCTGCGAGCGTCGAAGAAGCCTGGCCTCCCCACACCAGAGTCGGCAACGTTTCCTGGTGTGAATGTACATGCTGCGTGCAGATGGAGTGTAGACTGGACTGCATATGCTGCCGTGAAGTGGGTGCCGTGTTGCAGTTCCTCTCAGGCACCGCACAACGGTGCGTGTCTGAGACGGAAGAGTTCCAGACAGGATGCCTAAATAAACACGTTTTGACCATCGCCTTGCGCGGATACCTGGACATGACCAAGCAGCTGTGCAACCAGCCGCCGACAAATTTTGACAATAGGTGAGTGAGTTCAACTAACTAATTACTTCAACTTTTATCTTGCCTTAGCTGTGGGGACAGGTGTGTAGATCAAACTATAAAAAAGGTCTTGGGAGGACTGGGGCGAACTCGGTGCCTGTTCACAACTCACAAGTTCTCAGTAACAGTCTACCGTGAGTGGCACTAACAGCGCGGCCGGATAAACCTGTCCCCAACAGGTGTCTATTTTCTTAGATGGGACTGGACTCAGTGAAAGTGTGCTGTGCTGTTCAGTCCACTTTCATGAAGTCATGATGGATTGAATATTGTGTACTTCCTTGCCCAGATCATTCAGATATGCTGCCTACCGACAGGTAACGTGGATGATCCATGGGAAAATGGGTCGTGGTGTAAGATGTCGTATTCCAGCATGCCTTGTGGGAGCAATACGCCAGTGCTTTCCAAACCCTCCGGGTAAGCAGTGATTTCTTATGGAGTGAATATAAATACGAGTGAAATGTGGCAACTCCATTGCTTGGAAGTCTTATGAACTTGGAGATGTCAACTTATAAAGATAAATGAATGAACGCTTCGGGTGCGGATCTGCCTGCCTGCGTGCATGTGTGTGTGTGCGTGTGCGTGTGTGTGATGACAATTGTCTGTGAAGGTGTACCGTACCATGGGTTTGAAGAAGCCAGGGATGAGGCGGATACTCAGTGGCCCGAAGATTGACATCATAACTTTTAGAGGTAAGCAATGACTTGCCTTCTCTAATACTTCAATGTAAAGAATAAGCTATTTAGGATTCCTGAACGATAGGCATTGAGGACTGGCAACAAAATCAGATACATGTGCACAGGCATAATCTCCGAACATGCAAATTGGACAACACACCATTTGTTCTTGTTGGTCATTACTCCTTGCAAAACACTTCCACCACAACTAAAACGAAAAGAAGGGAAAAAGGCCAGCAAAGGCACAGCATGCTCGCACCATCACATATACGTACACGTGACACAAAAGGTATCATAGTGCGAGCATGACTCATACTCATAGTCACAGCACATACAGCCCGGCGCAGTTGTACAAGCGAATGATCGCGGGCACAAACGGCTTTAAAAAACAAATAATTTATCATGAGAGCAGCTCAAACAACTACAGGTTTGAAGCGGAAATAAAAATAGAGCTGTGTTGCCGTGTGTTCATATTTGGGTGGGAACATCGCATTGAACAACGCACTGCTGTTGTCCTTCATCTTCGCTGTCCTGGTCTTCCTCCTGCACATACCCTGCATCATCCTCTAACGTTACTTCATACTCTTGTTCCTCTTCCTCCTCTGGTGCAACTGATGGTGATGCTTCTGCTGTTGCTGCCATTGCCAATCTCGTTTGCAGATTGGCGACAACTGCTGCCTTGACTGGAGCCCCGCGTCGCGACACGTTGACAGGCTTACACTTCTGGATGGGTGGCACTGTCAGCCTCTTCGTGGCCACATCACTGACCTGCTGCATCATGCTGTGCATGCATCCGTATTTCTTTTCACTGTAGATTTTTTTGGCCACGAAATCACCCTTCACTCGAGAAAACTGGACCTTGTACTGTGGCTGACCTTTTGATGTTGCCTGTTCTCTGCCAGCATTGAAGTTATGGTCAAGAGCAGCAAGCTGGGTGCGGGCCTCCATTCCCTCTCTACTGAATTGAATTCGCTTCGGCATGTACTTCGTCATCATGCTATGGTACACCTGCATGCACATGACGAACAAGAAAGTTATTCAGGTCACTGATACCTGGTTCTGACTGATATGCTCCTTATGTCAATTATTGACAGAACTTACGTATGTTATGGGAACACAGTGCAATGCTGAGTGAGTCAATATTTTAGTACCACTGCCAATATGAGCACGGCGTTCCGATGGTCGGTCTATGTTATGGCTGGTGTAAGGATAACAGACATTCTCCCATTGGACTGTTGGATATTTGTAAGTAAAAGTCATATATCCAGGATCCATTTCCTCCTTACCTCTAAGTTTCCAGTGTGCTGGAAATCTGACAAATGCATCAAATCTGCCAGCAGTCTCTTGTCTTGAACAACTGATTCCAGAACCTTGTAGGCTGGAGACCCTAAAGAAATGAGAAAGATAAAAGAGTCAGAATCTATACTGCCGGTCTACTGTTAATTTTGTGTGAGTGGGTAAAAGTGTATACGTAAATGTTAGATGCTCAGACATTGTATTGCTCATGCTTGACTTATTGATAGGGGTGTCATCGAGTAGTAGGGTACCCGTGCTACCCGTAATTAGAGCGGATATTTTAGGGTAGCAGTTTACTGAGTACTCCTGAGAACCCGATCGGGTAGTTGCGGTACGGTGTTTTCACAATGGTGCATGTAAAAAGCATGGCTACTTGCTTACTGTACGCTTTCTATGTAGCGCAAGTGCACACGCACTGTACAAACCATGTCCGCAAAAATACCCGATAGGGTGCCCGTGCTACCGGATAGAAATACGATTTATTCCCGTAGCTATGCAGAAGACGTTACTTCAGTAACGTCTGGCGCTAGCCAGGGTCCACACAGCTTTAATTTGGTATTTGTGTGTTTGTTTGTTTGTGTCACGCCTGGCGCTATCCCGTATCTGACGGCAAAAAATCATAGGGATGTTATAAATTTTTCAATTCTATTTTTTTCAGGCATATCCTTGGATTCGAACCCGCACTATCGCCCTACATGCATTCGCCCATACACTTCGCATTCATACCCATTCTTCCAAGTTGCTTCACGTTATGATCTTGCGTTTGAAGGCCCTATTTGAATATTGCGGCCAGCTGTATGTGGCCAGCTGTGTTTGTTGGTACGGTACGGGAGACGGTGTCGTATTACCCTCGATCGTACCTGTCCCGTACCTATCCCTACCGTACCGTACCATCAAAGACGGCTGGCCACAATGCATATTCAAATAGGGCTTTCAAATGCAAGATCATAATGTGAAGCAACTTTGAAGAATTAGTATATATGCGAAGTGTATCGGGGGATGCATGCAGGGCGCGATAGTGCGGGTTCGAATCCCAGGTTATGTCTAAAAAAAAAGGAATTTTTTAAAGAATTTTATAACATCCCTATGCTTTTTTTCGTCTAGGTCATCAAGGCAAAAAAGCATAGCGTAGGGCCCTGAGCTTCCAAGCTCTCTCGTTTTTACCTGATCTCATTACCCGGCCAAACCCCTACCCGTTGCAGCCCTACTTATTGAAATTCAGTGCTGCCAACTTTCCGTATTTTCCGTATTTGTAAGGAAAATCACTCCTTCGTCCGCAGTGCGGAATTGAAAAATGGTATGGAAAATTGAAGAGGATCGATCAGCCACCGATACTTATGTAGAAGCATGGCAAGCGGAAGCTGAGCGATGAATATCCCTGTGCCAAAGTGAGCGCATACCATGCTTCGACTACATGTAGCACAAAATATCATGTCATCACGGGTACAAGTCACACATGTTTTGCACTAGCAAAATCAGCCACCGACAAGCATGTGGGTGTCAAAAAAGCACAATACAAGCAATGCATATGACAGTACTCTGGTAGTACGAAAGGAGACACTGCAACATATGGAAAATCAGTCCGCAAAGAAAGACCCAGTTGGTTGGCAGCACTGGAATTTGATATTGATAGCGACACAACTTTCACGCTTTACTTACCGGGTGTCAGCCACTTTTTCTGTCGCTGCTCATCAGTGGAAAGCGGAGGATGTGCACACTGCGTGAAGAGTGTACCCTCAGTCCAGCTATGTCGGTTGACGATGTGGTAGAGGACTGAGTTCCACTTTTCACGCAGCAGCACAGCATTGCCTCCGCACGACCGGGCGCAGTACCACAAGTGGTTATTGATGGCCGGTAACCACTCGAGCAAGGCCTGCTGGTCTTTCCTCCTGCATCCTGCCCTGATCTTGGAGGCGACACTCTTGGCATAGTGCCATACATCAAACTGATGCTTGATGGAGTGGCGTCCTCGCATCTCCTTCTTTATGCTGGGGCTCCGGTCAGTGACAACAGTGGCAATCTGGAGAAGGGGATGAAGCACGCAAATGTACACATACAAGGAGAGAAATTTGATCCCAGAGGGTGGTGGCGTTCCCACGGCGGATGCGGAAAACTCGGCTTCCAGCCGAGTCTCACGCAAACCGTGAAATTTAAGGAGAGAAATGTAGGATTTGTGGGTGTTTTCCTCAGGGTCATAAATCATCAAAACAAGCAGAACTTCAAAATTAGATTGCAAGTTGCACATTGTTTTAAAATAAGGAAAATATATCCAATCTGTACACACCTTCAACCCTTGCTCCAAACAACGGTCAAGTGTGACAACGAATCCCATCTTCTCCATTGCCACTGAGCTGGTTGTGTCCGTGGACATCGCCAGATGGTAATCAACAATTAGGTCGGATGCAACATCCATGAAAGTGTATGTCCCGAATCGTGCGGAATAGCCAGGGCTGTCACACCTGCCATCTCCAGCTAGAGCGAGTTGTCTGCCTACAGTGCAGCATAACAAAGATAACATATGCAGAAATTTCCTCCTGCCCTTCAACAAAGTGTGGGTACTCCCAAGTGCCAAAATTCTGGATGTGAAAGCAAACAGCTAAACATACTGATGGGTTTTGCTTTTGCAAGTATGCATGGTGTAGTGTACATGTATGTGCTGATGATACACTCATGGACATTTCTTACGTCATCATTATCATCAAACTATTGACGTCACACCATGCGCAGATAATTTTAGTATGTCTGCCTTTTTGTATTGACACACGGGTCTCCTTGTTCTTGTTACGTTGACATAATTTACTTGCAATTGTAGTTGGTCTTCTTCTAGTCTCCATGTAATCGATCATAGAATAAACCGAACCCCGTCTCTAGCTGAGACACTACACATGGCCCATGGAATATTCACTGGTCAAGGCAGTGAGCAGATTCTCCTGTACTGTTCTCCCTCAGCATCACAGACAATCCACCAATGCTGCACTATATACTACATAGCATATACAATCAGCAAAGACCCCTTACCTAACAAAAGTGAATGAACACGCGTACGCTCTGCAAGCCATGCCGCTTGGATAACTGGAAATACAAACTTCTGTTGTATTGAAAAGAAGGTTCGTCTTGACATGAATTGCAAGTGGAAAAATTCAGCAAACTTGCTGAATTTACTGTAGGTGCCGCCGCACAGAAGGATGGCTGCTACGAGCAGAATAGAACCTGCAGTGCAAAGTGCCAACATTCATGAGTACACACAGCTATCACTGTCTTGATCACGATGTGCCGGAGACTTAAACGTCATGTATAATGTTTGCTGGTCTCGATAAGATTTCAGCATGCAGCCCTCAAATCCCAAACATCACTGACACTCCCATGAACCATGGTATTTAAAATTAACAAAACCCTCCTGAATACAGCCCCTCCCAACTAAATGCAGTGCCAAAAACCTCGCCAAGTTTCAGTAATAGGAGAAAAAGGTGATTTAAAGAAATGGAAGCCAGAAAATATTGGAAAAACATGTACTCACACAGTGACTGCTGCTGAGCCTTCCCCGTGGTGGTGTGGGACCGCCAAATGACGTCACAGTCCTGCTCACATATCATCTTCACCACTAGCATAGGACCAACTAAGGTTTTGGTTCGACAGATAACTTTCCCTCCGCACTTGGGGCAGTACTTCATTAGCATAAAGAGGGATGACTCACAGACAAAGTACATGTCTTCAGGTGATGTGTCACTGGCTGGAGGCTGTTCAAGTACTGAGTATACATGTTGTTCTTCTGAAGATACACGGAACACCTTACACAGATCATCCTCAAAGCAAGTGGTCAGATCATGCAAGGGGGCATCGTAAAATTGTATTTATTTGTACTATTTCAAAGTAGACAATCAGCAGAGATGGGCACATACATATGTAGCCTTTGGAAATAACTCCAATACTCCAATACTCAGATAATCGGACTCAGACTCTGCGTTTTGCTGCCACATTTCCCCCATAATCTAAACCTAACAGGAAATTACGTAAACGCATAGCTGTTACCTCCATGTCCTCTTCGCACACCATCTTTGCAGCATCATCATAATCAGCCAACTCTGGAGCCGGACCATGAGTCGCTGTCACTGCAGTAGCATGCACTTGTTGTGTTGAGCTTGGCTCTGCATGTGCAGGACTCGCGGCAAATGTCTGCGTGGCAACAAAAACCATTATGCACCTGTTAGGCATTTTTCACTTCCCTTAGGCCACCCTTTGTTAATTCATTGTTTAACGTCCTTTTTTTCGCGAAAAGGTACGCGGGAGGGCAGAAAAAAAACAAAAGCCCATTCCAAAAACTGGAAACCCCAATCAAACATTTTGACCAGTAAAGCATGTGATATATACAATATATCTGGGTCTAACGGCACTTGCAGGCATAGAACAACACTCTTTGATGGTACATTGGAGCACATGCCTGATGAATCCAACAAAACAGGTACATAGCATGGAGTTAGCATGTCATGAATTCATTACATCTGGATTTTTACTAGGACACACACCGTACGATATTTAAAAGCCAACAAAAAAAAGAAAAAGAACACAAGACAAAGGCATGCCCGGGAGGCAAGATTATAAGTTTAAGGTTATGATCGGCACACTGTGAAACTACACAATCATGTATTTACAACTTCGCATATTATTGGTACTACTACTTTCTTGTTTTTTTTTCCGGTCGGAGGCAAAAAGGTACGCGGGCGCGGACGTTAAACAACGAAAAAAGAAAGGGTGGCCTTACAGATAATTGGACTGATTGAGTACTACAGATACTTAGTATGACTGTAATGGTATGATCGCTTACCTTGCCACTGTCCACTGCATATGCCGTCTTGGTAATGCTATCATGGCCATCCAACTCAGAAGTTGGGTATTCCGTGGCTGTGGCAGTTGCAGAGGCTACAGGAGGCTGAACTTGATGTTGCGGAATTGACGGTCCCGTGTCTGCTTGAGGTGATATCTGCAAAGACACGGTAAAGGCAACTGTTGTAATTTTTGCACTTATGTAATAATAATAATAATAATAATACCACAGCACGCGTACAAAGGCCAAAGAACAATGCATGAGAATACACTGAAATTAAGCCAAGTCCGCTTCTGTCTCCAGTCAACAAAAACTCATCCATAAACAATGTCTGATCAGAGTCCATTTCGACTTGTCTGCAGCAAATGCTCGTGCTCCTTCTAGGTCGCTGGCATTCTTCAAAGGGATGTCGTGCCCTGCCAGGTCCTTCATGATGGTGGTAGGGAGAGTAGCCGCGGGACGGCCCCTTCGTCCACGTGACCCCGCTTGAAAATAGCAGGACATCGCAAGGCAAGGGGGTGACTGCTCACTCATCCTCAGCACATGGCCAGTGAGGCTACGTCGTCGCTTGGCAACAAGCTCCGACAGTGGCTGCGAGCCACATCTGGAATACAGATCATCATTCGTAATTCTGTCTTGCACTTATGTACTAAGGCCAAACAATATGCATCAGTCCTAATTAGCCTTTTCGAGCAATTCGCATACAGCATATCTATGAGTTTAGTTTGGCGAAGCTTAGCGTCCTGGCTACTCTGAAAGCACATGTCTGCATACAGGTAGTGGAGTTTTGGTGAAAAGTACACGTTATTCAGAGATTTTTGACCGCATGACTTTATTCAAGTAACAGTGGATCAGGGAGTGTATGTGCCGAACTGAAACACTGTATAACAGTCACAGTGCTTCACTTCTCCTTCACTAAAATAACCTAGAGCGGAAACACATTCCGCATCAGGTGCCGGTATAAAAGCCCGTACCTTATTTGGTTCCCTTTTTTGTTGGTAAGTAGACTTCCGTCGCTTCGGCGGAGGCGGATGGTGTGGCCAAAGTCTCAGGGACGGGACAGCGGTTGGCTTCAGATGTAGCGTTGGCGGAGTATTAGCCGAGGGCACGTCCGCAATAAAGTCGTCTGGATGTACAAAATGAGCAGAGCAGACCGCGCAGGTATCGGGCAGAGTAACCCTCCTCAGTGCTCTCACCCAAGCGGCGCGTCGTTTTGCCTCTGCGGGGAGTCTGTGAAGGGAGATGCCTCCACCGCTACGATTTCCGCAGCCCACAACGGCACAGGCAGGCATAGCCGGTGGTGGAATAAAACAAAAACGAACACAAGGTACAGAGCTGCTAGCGTCACCATGTACCAAGAAAGCGAAAGGACTTCAGACTTGATTAGCAATGTAAAAACAACTTCAAACAAAGACTCAAAGTAGTGGCTAGTGCACGACTGTATTATGCAGTGCAGCACACTTTGAACTCTTCCCGTTGTTGTTGTTGTTGTTGTTGTTGTTGTTGTTGGTGGTGGTGTTTTTATTTGAATTCGCAATACCACCCGTCCCTCCCGTCATGCACCCTTGCCGACATGTCTGGCTAGCCAGGCACAGCGCATTAGTTCTTCCGCCTGTTTCTACGCAATATGGCATGCGTTCTATTTCTTTCCTGGCGGCAGACAGATGGAATGCTCTTCCCACTGACTGCCGTCAGGCCCCGTCTCTTACTCTGTATGTAAACATGGTAAAAATTCACCTAGGGTTCCCAGTAAAAAGGCAACGCCTGTTGGGACTCCCCTAGTAAAAATAATAAAATCTACTACTACTAGTGTACTAGCCGGCTACATACATAACATAGCTAGACCGAGAGCTCATTCGGTGAGTTACAGTTGTGAACTCTTGAACCCTGGATGAGAGCGAGATGCCGGCATGCCCTCTTTCGTGTCACAGACTAGATCATAGACTGTAGCCGGCCGGCACAGTCAGTGCACTGCACTGCATGCACTGGCACGGTGACCAGGCCAGTGACTTTTGTACGCATCGGTACGGGATCTCGTACGGGACCGTATTTTACCGCGTTCGATTGGGAATTTGGGCTGAACGCTATATCGCAGCCTCCTCGGACCAAGACCATTCGATTTAGCGTCCAAAAGACTACAACATATGGACCGATCGTGGTCACCCGTGCTTTTATAAGAACGAAACGGCGTTTTTAGTGACTTTTTGCATACAAATCCCCATCTAGTAGGGCGCAGTCACCCAGTTTCGGTGGAAGTGCGCGTGTTCGATTGGAAATAAAGAAGGAAGGGAGCGTCTCAGCTTCCTCGGACCAAGACCATTCGACTCAGCACCCCGAAGACTACAACTGGTGAAAATTTGATTTTAGGGTATACTTCCCCTTTAAGGCCGCGGTCACACATGAAAAGCTTGCACCGCTTTTGCGGAGGCGGAAAGCGGAACTACCGCAGCCGCTTTGGCGGACCACACGATGTAGCGGTCACACATACATGTAGACTACTGTGCTCCTCAACGCTCCGCTTTGGCGGAGAGAATGCAAATGCAGCACGTCCTATGAAATTTTAGATGTTCTTGTCCGAGTTGAAGCGACCTTCGTTTGTACAAGTAGAGCTATCGTGGATCGCTGACAGGCTAGGCTGCTGAATGTCTCCTGTCAAGTACACTCGTGGATTTGGGGCGCATTCACTGCGGCCCAGTACAGGTGTATTTTGAATATTACTAGTTTGGTTTACATCAATATCAAATTCAAATAGTTGTATAGTAGGGTGTCGTTGCCTCCTTCTTGTCCGAGTTGAAGCGACCTTCGCTTGTACAAGCCTATCGTGGATCGCTGACAGGCTGCTGAATGTCTCCTGTCAAGTACACTCGTGGATTTGGGGCACATTCACTGCGGCCCAGCACGGGTGTATTTGAATATTTGTTTAGTTTACATCAATATCAAATTCAAATTGTTTTATAGCAGGGTGTCGTTGCCTCCTCCATGATCCATCATCGACCCAGCGACTGCGTGGATGCCGGCAGTTGCAGTGAGGGTGTGGCAGAGTACTCTACTACTCCCTGGTTGCAGTCCTAGTGTTGCATACTCTGGTGGACGTATAGTATTGCTTAGAGAGAGTTGGAGATCGTCCGCGATCGGGGCCAATGAGTTGGGAGACGGATTCCCTCACCAATTATCCACTCATAACGATGCAGTATTGTTTGCGAGATCTCCAGAACGTACAGTTCATTGGCAAAGAAGAACAATATGAAAACTGAATACCAAACGGCAACCAAACAACACCAGAACTCAGTGCAGAAGTAGCACACCAAACTCCAAAGCCATCACCATGCAGGTTCCGCCAAAGCGGATCCGCGAAAGCGGATGGTCCGCTCGCATTTTTTTGGCGTAGCGAAATCCAAACTTTCCGCCAAAGCGTAACTTACGCCTCCGCCGTTGCCGAGGCAACGGCGGAAGCGTAAGTTACGCTTTGGCGGAACCGCCAAAAAAAGTGCATGTGTGACCATGGTGACCGGGGCCTTAGCACGGAAGAAGTAGGCGGCGAGACTGTGTGGAACACAGAGATCCGATGTGTGTCCTCGGATTCCGCGCCCGCCCCGGGTCGAAGCAGTGTACCGGTGACCATGTCGTGTGTGACAGCCCACATCGTCGAGCTTTATGACATTATCGGTTGTGTGTTGTCTGGTCCAGCGTCTGCCCCATGTCGAAGTGGATCGGTGACAGTGTCGTGTGCAACAGTCCACAGCGGCAAGCTTCGCGATGTCGAGTTGTCTGAATTGGTGGGCATTAGTGATATTCTTCCATGGCCACCACCGCAGCAGCAGATGACGCGTAGTAAGCCCCAAATCGTTTGACTTGTGAGTTGTTGTACGGCGGTGAGAAGCCCTTTGGTGGGGAGAATGTTGTGAAACGACAAGTTCTCGAGAGTGAAAGGCCTTCTCGCTTGTGACAGTATGTTCGTTTCAATGCAGCTGTATCCCGACTCCGCCGTACCGCTGATGTTTACGACGTAGTATACGCTACATGCGCTATGTGCGGTTTGCTGAGTGCGCTGTAGTTGTATGTTGTATGTGTATGCTTTTCTCATATACGCTGTCATTTTCACGCTATAACTACCTGGTGGTTTTAGTGTTAGTCATTCAGTTCATTCAGTTGTTCATTCAGTCATTGTTCATTGTTATTAGTCGATGGAAGTGAAATATACTGTTGAGAATAAATAGTTGTCCTCGTGCCGTGTGGGGTCGTTCGTTCCTGATACTTTAGAGAACCAGAGGGTTCACAACATTTGGCGACCACGCCAGGATACGAAGCGAGCATGGCACAGGAACTATGGATCATCGAAGCCAGCTTTATCGCCAACGGAATTCGGTATGGATTTGAAGGCGATAGGTTGAGAGAATACGTGGAGAAGAGGCTCCGACAGAGCGAGGAGTTTGAAGAGCGCAGTGCTAGACAACAAGAGTGTGCGCTCCGCACAGAGTTTAACGAAAAGCTCAAGAAGATGGCCGAGCGCATCGCCGTCGGTACATATTATGAGGAAGCAAAGCGAGATTTGCTTGCCTCGCCCGGAAGGACGCCGGACAAGGCGTGTAAGACTTTGCTTACAGACAAGCAGCGGTCAGAAGAGTATTCGAAGCCAGTGGGAGGATCAGATCCAAGGCCCACTGGGTCGGTGCAGTGCATGGTGACATCGGTCGGAGACGCTCAGAAGCAGCTGGAGTCTCGGCCGAACGACGTAGAGGCGCAAGAGGCGCAAGAGTTAGAGGCGCAAGAGTTAGAGGCGCAAGAGTTAGAGGCGCAAGAGTTAGAGGCGCAAGAGTTAGAGGCGCAAGAGTTAGAGGCGCAAGAGTTAGAGGCGCAAGAGTTGGAGGCGCAAGAGTTAGAGGCGCAAGAGTTAGAGGCGCAAGAGTTAGAGGCGCAAGAGTTAGAGGCGCAAGACATAAAAGCGCAAGGCGTAGAAGATAAGGAAACGAGAAGGGCGATACTACTGGTTAGCACGGAAGAGGTCAACGGCGAGACTGTGTGGAACACAGAGATCGGATGTGTGTTCTCGGGTTCCGCGCCCGCCCCGGATCGAAGCAGTGTACCAGTGACCGTGTCGTGTATGACAGCCCACATCGGCGAGCTTGGTAAAAGTATCGGTTGTGTGTTGTCTGGTTCAGCGTCTACCCCATGTCGAAGTGGATCGGTGACAGTGTCGTGTGCGACAGTCCACAGCGGCAATCTTCGCGATGTCGAGTTTTCTGAATTGGTGGGCATTAGTGATATTCTACCATGGCCACCACCGCAGCAGAGGATGACGCGTTGTAAGCCCCAAATCGTTTGACTTGTGAGTTGTTGTACGGCGGTGAGAAGCCCTTTGGTGGGGAGAATGTTGTGAAACGACAAGTTCTCGAGAGTGAAAGGCCTTCTCGCTTGTGACAGTATGTTCGTTTCAATGCAGCTGTATCCCGACTCCGCCGTACCGCTGATGTTTACGACGTAGTATACGCTACATGCGCTATGTGCGGTTTGCTGAGTGCGCTGTAGTTGTATGTTGTATGTGTATGCTTTTCTCATATACGCTGTCATTTTCACGCTATAACTACCTGGTGGTTTTAGTGTTAGTCATTCAGTTCATTCAGTTGTTCATTCAGTCATTGTTCATTGTTATTAGTCGATGGAAGTGAAATATACTGTTGAGAATAAATAGTTGTCCTCGTGCCGTGTGGGGTCGTTCGTTCCTGATACTTTAGAGAACCAGAGGGTTCACAACACGATTATTCGGTATAATCGTTTCAGCCCTACCTGAGGACGAAGAATCGCGAGGCTTTTCTGATGCTGGGACACAATGGAAACTGAATGACTTCAGAACAGCACTGAAGCGTTATGTTATCATGTAAGACGCCTTTCTGCGCCGCACAAACACATGCGGTACTACAGCAGAAGATGTCACTCACTATTCTGCAGGTGCACTGGGGACAGGCGCATGCAAGTTGACGAGAAGGAAGCGGTCTGATGGTAACGGGAATGCCAGCAGTATGTGAGGATGTGCATTCTGTGGCGGATCTCACCTGGACAAGAGCTGCACGAAGTACACAACAGTAGCACAGTGGAAAGAACTACAAGATAAGACAAAGAAAATTTTTGGTGACAGTTCCCCTTTAAAGGGGAACTGTCACCAAAAATTTTCTTTCTCTTATCTTGTAGTCTTTTGGCTCCTGAGCACGATGGTGTACTTCGTTTTTCTCTGCGATGATCGGAAGTTGGTGAAAACTTGAATTGAAGGTGCTCAAAATTGTCCCGAAGTACCGAGTGACGTCACGCCGGACTTGACCTCCACGCGTATCTTCATCGTCAAAAACGAAGTCAAGCCCGTACCCGGACCCGTGTGCTGTGCTGGCCGCGCGAGCCGTACAATCTACGGTGCGCGTGGGTCTTGTGAACTCGGACGGCAGAGCTGCACTGATGTGTACGTCGTACGCAAGCAGAACGCCAGAAAAGGAGAGACTCACCGTCACCCACGTGGTAACAGTAAGTGTAACTGCACAGAGCTTGCTTTTTTGTAGGACTTCCTCCTCACGACTTTGTTTTATTTGAGTGATTTGTAAGGAGTTTTGTTACCTGTGACTTCGTACTTGTTGTATCAAAAGCTGAAACTATTCACAAGATAACCTTGGCCGCTTCCTGCTAACTGCGCTGATGTGTACGTCGTAAACTGGGAGAATGCCAAAAAGGGAGAGACTCACGTGTAGATGTACAGCTAACCGCTTTTTGTTAGTCTTCCTCCGCAAGGTGCCAAGGCTCTTCGCTTTGGAATGAGAGAAAGAAGTTTTTTTCCTATACATAGTACCTGTATCTTGTATTTTTGCGACTACTAACATGGTAGTACTGTAGTATTCGCAGGATAACCTGGGTCGCTTCCTGCAACCAGCGCTGATGTGTATGTCGTAAACTGGGAGAACGCCAAAAAGGGAGACACCCAGTGTAAACAGCTTTTTGTCACTCTTCCTCCGCGAGGCTCTTCGCTTTGTAATGAGAGGAAGAAGTGTTTCTGCTATACATACTGTAACATAGTACCTGTATCTTGTATCTTTGTGCGACTACTAACATACTAGTACAACATAGCAGCTTGGTCGCTTCCTGCAACCTGCGCTGATGTGTACATCGTACAAGGAGGAGGCCACCGTTTTGCTATTAGTGCTTCCTCCGTGACGCTCTTCGTTTTGTGTTTTGTAGTGAGTTGGAGAGTGTGGAAGGAGTTTTGTTTGCTGTGTCAACATGCCTCGCACTTGTTGTATCGAAGGTTGCGACTACTCACAGGATAGCGCTGGTCGCTTCCTCCTACCCTTCCAGCTGGTCTGGAAGGAAATACCTGGTTGCACACTTCGCTGGTCGAAGGCACAGGACACAGCCGGTTTGAAAATTTGCTCGTCTCATTTCAGTGAGAGTGATTGGGATGAGAGTTCAATTGTCCGGGCCCGTTACATGCCCACGGCTAGATCTCGTCCAGTGCTGAAAGAAATGGCAGCACCCACTAGATTCCCTATTGCGTGTGAGCCAATCGCTAAAGTTTCCCGTACAGATGAACCCGACTCTCCGGAGGTAAGTCATAAAATTCACATGTATAACCAGCACAACATCAATTTTGCACTGATCTGTGATCAATTCAGTTCCTGCTTCTATCAACCTCTACACCACAATTTCTGTTGCATACAATGATAATCATAAATTATTGAAAATAATAGGTACCCTTGTAGAGATGTATTGTAGACTTGACTGAGGTCAAGCGGTGTAACGCATCCTGCCGGCCACAGTCAGAAATGACAATGGGCTACATTTATCTTAGAGGAGTAGATAAATTAGCTGTCTTTACTTTGTTTTCGTACAGCTATCAAACTTCGAACCGCAGGCCACATCATCTCCTGTGCGGAAAGATGACTGTGAGGAGATATCATTCAATAGTTCTATTTGGGAGCCAAGTGTGTTGGATGGTGATAGTGAATCCGAGCTTCTGCCTGAAATGGAAGCAGGTTCACAAGAAAGAAAATTCATTGTGTGCGAATCCAGGCTGGATATTCTATTACGGGACTATCAATGCCCGGAATGTGCTGCCTGTATCTCCAGACGCACGAAAAGCACATGTGGTTCAATGCTGACAGTAACCCTCACGTGTTGCAATGGTCACAAGTCTACCTGGGAATCACAAACAAGGGTGAATAAGATGCCATTGGGAAATCTTCTCATTACGACTGCCATACTCTTGTGTGGGGCAACATTTGAACGCTTCAATTGTTTTGCCAAATTCCTGAACCTGCAGTTCATTTCTGCATCGACTTTTTACAGGACCCAACGAAAATACATTTGGCCTGTAATCAACAAGAAATGGCAGAAGCACCAACATGAGGTGATGAATGAACGAGAGGGGCAGCATCTGCATATATCGGGTGATGGCAGATGTGACTCCCCCGGGTTCAGTGCAAAGTATTGCACGTATACTGCAATGTGCCAAGTCACGAGCAAAATTCTTCACTTCGAGGTAGTCCATGTTGCCATGGCTGACGGCAAAAGTACGCAAATGGAAAAGCTAGGCTTGAAGAAGACCTTAGAATTCTTCAAAGCTTCTAAGTGCACAGTCGAAACTTTGGCCACCGACAGGTGCATCAGCATCAAAGCCATGATGGCTAAGGAGTACTCCACGATTAATCACCAATTCGATGTGTGGCATTTCGTGAAGAATGTAATAAAAAAAATCAAGGACAATTCAACAAGAAAATGCAATAAGGTGTTGCTGGAGTGGATTCCATCTATTGCTAATCATCTTTGGTGGTCAATATCTACATGCAAGGGAAATGTGCAAAACCTTCGGGAGAAATGGGATTCCATCCTCTATCATACTTCCAACAGACATACATGGCCTGGCAAAAAGCAATTCCAGAAGTGCGAGCACGACCATCTCTCTGCAGAGGAACAAAAACAAACAAAGTGGCTTCAAGTAGGCTCCAGTCCCCACAAAATTCTTACAGATATTTTCACTGATAAAAAGCTACTGGATGCATTACCGAAGTTGGCCAATTTTTGTCACACTACAAGGCTTGAGGTGTACCATTCACTGCTCACCAAGTACACCCCTAAGCGGCAGCATTTTCCATACCCGGGAATGGTGGCAAGAACCCAGCTGGCTGCCTTGGACCACAACAGCAACTGTGGGAGGAAGCAGGCCATTGATTTGACAGGTAACTTGCGGTACAAAATGGAAAACACCAGAGCAAATGCAAAATGGGTCGCAAAGCCCATTTTGGAGGATAAAAATTACGAGCATTGCTACGATATTATCGAAGACGTCCTTGCCCAGAAAATGGCAACTAGTCCACCAGAGATAGCTCCAGTCCCTGATCTACCTGCAAATATTGCCAAGACCTCAAAGCCTGTAAAACAGGAAGTCATTGACGCCCATGTGTCGAGAATACATAAGGCCATTTGAATGTCTCTTGTACACCACGGTAACGAGTTTCTGGAGCGCTGTAAGTAATATTTGCAATGCACGTAACAACTTTGCAGCATAGTGTGGGCAGGCGTGTATTTACCGCCATATTGCCAGGTGTGCCTTTACCACCATTATGAATCAACCATAATTACAGCTGCAGTGGTGTCTTTGTTCTCTATCAATATCATCTAGTTTCACCATGGTGTCATTCACCTTTTAAAAATCTGACTCAAGTTTCACTTGTACTTACAAATTTAGTATTATTCACTCTCTTCAGCTTGCAAAAAAACGGTGTATTTTCCACTGGCTTCTGGAAATGCCTCGCGAATTTTGCCGACTACACATGCAGGAACGACCCTTCTGACTTTGCGACCAAGTAGACCACAGACAAACCACGTAAATTGTCTGTAGCATGCATATCGATATGACCTACACGCACAGAATAGAAAGCATGACATACATTAGCAGCCTTTCAGCATAAGTATATCCACTCATTGTTGTAGAAAGAGGACGTTTGGACGGACTTGGACCTTCAATATCTCGTTGTACATACGTAGTACATAGTAACATGATGTGCATACTGTGATTGTATACTGTGAGCGACTGAGTGTTTTGATGCTCCAATTTTGTTCACTGCCTTCTGCTGTACGCATGTCCCTGGTCACCTATCGCTTCCCCATAATCAGCAATATCTTTGACTATATTTGATTCAGTCTTGGAAGTAGGCGCACAATTATGCATTGGGTGTGCTGTGCAATTATACTGGCCAGGCACGGAACGATGCAATCATGATTGTGTTGTGGACTAAGCTAAATTGAAACCCACATGTTGCAATAATTATTGGAGTTGAATTTCAGATTCATTGAATGAGAACGATTAGATAATGCACATGGCGTTCAGTTTTATGTTCAAAGTATTCAATATTTACCTGTTTGGGGGAGGATATGGAATGGCTTGGTGAGCCACGTCGTGGAATCCAACCAAAGCAGTGTCCAGTACCGCTTTTGTCAGGCATACAGCGTAGAAATCTGGGTGGTCCACGATGCAGTGTGCTTCCATCTCCACTTCACAACTGCATGATGGGCAATGACCATTTGCCGCTTGTGGACCACCCGAGTCCGAAAGTTTCCCTCGCACATGAGCAAATTCCTGGCAACAGGAACTTTCTTTCGCTGTGGTCATTGGGCAACAATTCCCGCATTTGCACCACTCGGTGTTGCCCATGCGACTCTCAAACGAAAGACGTTCTAATTCTTCATCCGTATCCTCATTTGGTGACTCGTCCTCGCCAGATGATTCGCTTTCTTCCAGAGTTCTTCTCGGCTGGAAGCGATAGGGTTGTATGGTGTCGTCGACGGGTGAATTCATTCTGCTGCTAATCAAATCAAACAATCTAAACTGCGGCCCTTCGTGCTCATAAACTTACTTTACACCCTCACCGAAGATGTCAACATTTGAAATCTGTATGCAGCTACACGTGGCTATCTCTTTTTCTGGCGTTCTGCTTGCGTAGACATCTACGACGTACACATCAGTGCAGCTCTGCCGTCCGAGTTCACAAGACCCAAGCGCACCGTATACGCGTAGATTGTACGGCTCGCGCGGCCAGCACAGCACACGGGCTTGACTTCGTTTTTGACGCTGAAGATACGCGTAGGTCAAGTCCGGCGTGACGTCACTCGGTACTTCGGGACAATTTTGAGCACCTTCAATTCAAGTTTTCACCAACTTCCGATCATCGCAGAGAAAAACGAAGTACACCATCGTGCTCAGGAGCCAAAAGACTACAAGATAAGAGAAAGAAAATTTTTGGTGACAGTTCCCCTTTAAGACAAACTCACAGAATAAATACCATCGGTCCCTTGGTGTTCGTCCTAAAGAGGTTCGACTGGATATCATTCATACTCGCGCCAAAAAGATGTGTAACATTTTATTATTATGGAGTGCCTTGTTTATCTCTCAGTACCTCCAGGGTACCCTGTAAGAAGGCCTTAGGCCTGCGGGATTGCCCTATCAAAAATTTGACAATTAATTTTTGATAATAATGACCTCCAACCTCCAATGGCCTTGCCCCTGTTATCCCCAGGATCAGTGTAGTTGTTGGAACGAGGTACCGGACTCAACAATGTATTTGTTTACATTTTAATACATGTTTATTGTTCCTCCTTTGCTGTGTTGTTTTAGAAAATCGTGGACTAACAGTTTGAAGTCATTGAACTACTTCCAAAAGTTGTATCGACATCAACAGGATTACGATTTCAGTGCAATATGATGCAGGATGACCTTATCACGATAACCCATGATTATTATTATTATTATGAAATGACCCAAAGGCAATATGCCTATCGAAGGGTTCATTTGATTGAAAGAACAGTACTACTACTAGTATGTACAAAGACAAGTAGGGATTGATGAGGAGAGAAATGGGGAAAATCAACTGCAAGGTGGCGGAATCCCGTTGATTGCATAAGCATGGTTAGCTGTAAATAAACAATTATAAACACAGAATCAACAAAAACATCTGCGACACGCACCTGGCTACATTTCACAAGTAAATCTGATCGAGGGTGGGGAAATCTGAAATATCTGGAAGGCAAGACAATTTTGTGACGGTCATGAAATGCTGCAACAGCAACATGCACAGAATGACCTGCGTATAAAAAAAAGTATCACCACCACTAACCACATGTTTCCCCAGCAGAATTATAATGCTACAATAGTGCCATTTTCTGCAAGAAAAGGCTTGCACATCAATGCGTATAATACGGTATTGATATGATATGAAGGCCATCATTTACATAAGGGCATTCCATTGATTGGTGACAGAAAAAACAAAAGAAATTATAGCAATAAAAACTGCTTTATGGCAGCTTTCTAAAAAAAGTTATTGTGTTCTAGTCCTGGGTCCGGCATAGGCTATAGAAAATTTATAAAATTGCTTCTAAGTAAGAAATTAACGAAATGTGATTGCCGAAAATTAAAATTTCACACAAAACCTCACAATAATCACACACAGGATGAAAAGCTAGAAGACCTTTTCCCTTCGTGATCCTCTTTCCCATGCATGCGTGTTGGTGCAGTACAAGTACAGTGTCAGTTTAAACAAGTGTTGAAAGCAGTATTTAATAATAATAATATCTTTATTAGGATGACCCAGAGGCTTGTCGCCTATTTGATTGTCAAGTGTTGTGATTATTGTGAGGTTTTGTGTGAAATTTTAATTTTCGGCAATCACATTTCGTTAATTTCTTACTTTTTAGACGGAGTCCAATCCAGTTTGGAAGCAATTTTAGAAGCAATTTTATAAATTTTCTATAGCCTATGCCGGACCCAGGACTAGAACACAATAACTTTTTTTAGAAAGCTGCCATAAAGCAGTTTTTATTGCTATAATCATGTTTGCATTATGTACCATGCATGATGTACGCGCTATCCAGCCATGTGGCGTACGCGTGAACAGATTGCTTGACGTGAAAGGTAGCGCGACGTACTCACGGGTGTTTCGCAGTGGCCACTCGTCAAGATGGCGGCAAATCCGAGAGTACAAAAATTTCGACTCTGCCTATGTGCGCGGCGGATGCGAATCTCGCACGTGCATGCAAAATCTAGCCTTCTGCAGAGCTGGGTAGAGCAAGTGTGTAGCCAGTGCAGGAACGATGACCTTTTCCGAGAGAGAATGTGGCTCTTTTCATCCCAACATTTTACTCGCCACGCTCTCCCCCCCAGCTTATTGATACGAGTATGTGCTACCGAGTAGAAGTCTCCATCCTCAGAGAAGGCCTGGCAGAATCGCAAGGTTGAAATACTTGCTCACTTGGTTTTTTGGTCCTTTGAGGTGTTGATGTGATTGTTGTGTACAACTCGAAGTGACAAACTTGAGACCCCCGCGCCACAAAAAACTAAGGCGCGCCACAAAGTTTCGTTTGGCTGTTCAATGAAAGGACGTATGGAAGCAGGGATAAAAACTATCGTGGCTGCCGGCAAAACTCTTAGTAATGTAATAAACGGGGGTGTGACTTTGGTAATTCCAAGGAGAATGTACGCACGGCCATTCCACAACGAAGACGAACTACGAGCTCAAAAACACGCCGATTTTCAAACAAACGACGCAGGAAAGAAGACATGGCCGCAGTGTTCCCGTGTGGCCTTCAAAACACCTAATTTTACTTCGATAGCGGCTGGTTCAGGGCAAATTCAGGCCCAATTCGACAGCGTCGTACCGCTCAGATTCGCCCAAAACACGAGGAAATGTACGGTAAATACAAAATTAATGGGTACGCATTTTGCGTACGGGGACGACTGGCCAGAGTTCATGAAGGAGCCGTACTCCGTGACGATGGCATGGCTTCGCTGCAAGCTAAGCTTTGCATTAGTCCGAGCTAGCGTGATGTGCCTTCGTGGGGCAAGATCATCCGCACACCGTGTCACCAGGGACCCCGCGTCTGTAGTGGTAGCCGAGGCACGTGTTTCCTTGCAGGACTGTTGAACTAAAGTCAGACATGTAGAGGGGACGGTTTCAAATAGGACACCGGTTGCAAACCGGAACGGACTCAATATTCACATTCTCTCTTGGTATTTTGATTAGAAAACATATGTCACAGTGAGACTACGATGTGTTATACTCCGAGCCAAAATTTCATGGCTCTGCGATGACCAGAAGCGCCATATCAAGCAGGTGAGTTTTTGACGTGTTGCTTCGCACTGCGACTTGAGTTTTACGACTTTCGAAAAATCAACTTCTTGTCGCAGGTAAACAGCGGCTCGCCTCTCGCCAATAAAGCACCGCATACCAATCAAAACTAATGGAAGCACACACAAGGCTTATTGTTACTCTGTACTGGCCGTCGTGGAGCGATAGCAATTACCTAATTTCAGACCCAGAGTGAATTTGACGGGCACTCTAAAACGTGTCCGGTTTGGAGCCACCTCTGATTTGAACTTTTTTGAAGCGAAAAATTGGGCAACTTGGAGGCAATGGGTCAACACAAAGGAGTGGCTCAGTTCGATTGACTCCGGCCCCAGAGCAAACTTCAACATGCCAGTTTCCTTCCACAAACATATTTCGAGTGAAAAATCAACGCTGATGATCGGTTTGGGTCTATACAAATTGGGCTGTCAAAACGTCCCGGTATCGAGCCGTCTCCTCTACATTTTTGTCTAGAGGTCTAGTCATGTACTTGTCATGATTCTTTTCTATTTTTATTCTTTTTACCAGGCGTGGGCCATCCCCTGGATTATCAAAATGGGTGCCTTATTATTTTCTTTTTTTCTTTTTCTTTTTCTGTTTATTCTTTTTACCAGGCGTGGGCCATCCCCTGGACTATCAAAATGGGTGCCTTATTATTTTTCTGAGTGCAATAAAGAGTTGTGACTGGCCAGAGTTCATGCACTGCAAACACCCGTGTACTACAAAGTAGTCGTACGCGCTCGAGCTCGCGGACGTGTCTGACACGTGAAGCGAAAAGGTTTTTTGGGGGGGTAGTCGGCAAAAATTAAAGGGGAAGTTAAAGGGGGAGGCAGGCACAGTGGGTTGGTCAAAGACCATGATTGAGATACGAGAGGTACCTGGTTCAAGTCCTGCCTGGGAGCGGTTTTTCCAGCCGTGCTGCTACCCACAGTCAACTGGGAACTTGTGGCCAGGCACAAGGGGTACATGGATGCAGCTAATGGGGTCGCTTTCGGCACTTGTGCCAGTGGTTGTGAGACTTACCCACTCACCCCCACCGTTAGGCGCTGCATCTGCCGCTAGGGTTTATCGGGTGTTAGCGGCCGTCGTGAGTTCCCTTCGGGAACGGATACGATAATTTACTTCTTTTTTTTTTAAAGGGGAAGTTAAGGCAAAAATTAAAATTTCACCAGTTAAGGTGGCGATCTACCTTCGCGGATAGTCCACCGTAAAATACAAACATCTCAGCCAATTCTCTTTGGAATTAGGTCAAATTTTCTGGAGACATTCATTATGTACCAAAGGACAAGGAGCAGCACAAATAGAGGACAGACTCCGCTCATGTCCATTGTTATCGCCGAATCGCGATAATTGGCCGCACCCGCACCTCTTAACCGCAAAATTGAAATATGCATCCATCAAGTAGAAAATAACCAATTGCTACAGTGTTCCTAACATATATTTCTAGGTACTGAATATCAAGAAACAGTTGCAAAGTCCTTTAGATCACAATGTCACAACAAAGCGTTTTGACGCGCGCATCCGCAAAAAAAGTCATGATCGGGTCCACAACCAATGTGAGAACAAGCAATGATAAATGGCTAAACGAAGACATTCACGAACTAGCTGATGCATCACAGAGCTCAGAAATGTATAGGTTTAGGGGTATAGCACCTACCACTTTGCCGCAATCGTGGTAGAAAAATGCGGGATAGGCTAAAAAGTTACCAAAAACACACAAAAAAGGTCTATCCAATTCCAGCCTACCTGCCTACAAATCTTCACATCAGAAGCCATCTGGCTCGTAGGTGACCTCATTTTGGTCTCCTTGATGATTAGTAATGCTCTTCTTCAGTCTTCTTTACTTCTTCCTTGACTTCTTTGTCACTTCCCACAAGTTCCCAGCTCTTCCTGGTTGTATCACAATGGTGTTACTTAGTGCGGTGCCGAGCAGAAACGCGATGCTATCTGGTTTCAGTGTTCAGCTAGAGTCTTCTTTTCTTCTCTAAGGGCTTGTTCAATCAGGATCATTGCAGGCAAAATCAAGTCGGAAACCCAGCCTTCACTGGTGGCCTCTCTCCATGCGTATGGCAATATAGGTGCTGATGAATGAGGCATATCCAGGGTGCAGCCATGCCGTTTCCGTCACACATCACGGCGATCGCATGCGGTTGCAGCACTGCCACTTTGGTAAATTGCCTCAGATCCAGCGTAGCAGATCACATGTCTGCTTCTGAACTCATCTCGGAGAACATGACCACAGATTGAATAGGATCGCGTTGCCGCCACAGGTCTTAGTATATATGGGCAGTAGAATATTGAAAACTATGCAAAGCGTCACTGGCGGTGATGAATTCGGCGCATACTAAATGCAGGCCTGTGGACTTCCAATTTGAAATTGAATTTCTCAGAACTGAATGGACTTCTCTTCTCACCACACACAATCGTCAATGAAATCCCAAGGCAAATATCTGGGTTTGCCTGCTCGCTTAGTAGATCTACGATGGGATGTGGACTGGTACAGCTGACAGCATACTGATTTGACCAGAAATAGCAGAAATCACTCAATATTTCACAGACTAACTCCAGTAGGCTATATTTTGCACTCACTGCCTGACGCCGAAAGAGAGAGAAAAACTAATCACCACAATGGCTAGAACTGTTGTTGACATCGTCATCGTCAGAGTAGTCAGAGTTGGAGATGAAGTTGAAATACGTCTTCGCTTGGCAATTTTTTTGCCAATAAATTTGAACAGCGTCGTCAACGTCAGGGATATTTTCAGCGGATAGATGGATATCGAGAGCTTCTGGCAGTAATATAGGCTGCTTCGGGCATCCAAGACGACGGACAGTACTCATTCCACCCGATCTTGGTGACAGGCGACGACGTGAGACGTCTCCAATAGACTTTCCAAACACAATTGTTTGAATTCTTCACAAATTATCGAATTATTGATTTGCGCATGCGCACTGTGTCCATGATGACGTAATATGTGCGTATTGGTATGGCATGAGTCAGCAGTGGTATTTCTGACGAGCACAGAAAATTTGAACAAAATCCACAAGGATTTACCGTGAAAAGACTGATTTCTACGTTTTCCCCCAAAAAGTTGCAATTGTGCGTGTCAAAGATATGTTACATTCGGTCTTTGCAAGCTCATAGCAGCCATATGGATAAAGCAATCTCACTCAAATTTTCAGAGATGATGTCTGGGATCTATACGAGCAATTTGACACCGAATTGGACGAAATTAGAGCAAGTTGAAAATTTCACAAAATTTTGACCCCTGAAGGTAGATCGCCACCTTAAGTAGTTGTAGTCTTCGGGGTGCTGAGTCGAATGGTCGTGGTCCGAGGAAGCTGAGACGCTCCCTTCCTACTTGAATCCCAATCGAACTCGCGTACTTCCACCGAAACTGGGTGACTGCGCCCTACGAGATGGGGATTTGTATGCAAAATGTCACTAAAAGCGCCATTTCGTTCTTATAAAAGCACGGATGACCGCGATTGGCCCATATGTTGTAGTCTTTTGGACGAGTTGAACCTTGGTGTGAAAGTTGTCACCTGCTGGCGTGGTGACCAGGTGATTTGGGCACCCAGGACCAGGCGACAACTTTCACACCAAGGTTCAACTCGAGTTCAACTCGAGTGACAGGACTGCACCCAAAAAAGGTCAAACAGGCTAGTAAGTTGTACCCTGCAGGCACGGTGACCAGGTGACTGGTGTACGCAGGAGCACGTGACCGCTTGTTCAACCATGTTCGATTGGGAATAAAGGAGGAACGCTGCATCGCAGCCTTTTCGGACCAAAACCAGTCGACTCAGCGTCCAAAAGACTACAACATATGGGCCAATCGCGGTCATCCGTGCTTTTATAAGAACGAAATGGCGCTTTTAGTGACATTTTGCATACAAATCCCCATCTAGTAGGGCGCAGTCACCCAGTTTCGGTGGAAGTGCGCGAGTTCGATTGGGATTCAAGTAGGAAGGGAGCGTCTCAGCTTCCTCGGACCAAGACCATTCGACTCAGCACCCCGAAGACTACAACTGGTGAAAATTTGAAATCACGCGCGCCATTCTGCTCTGTTCCTGTGGCAACGACGTCGATCCATAATCACGTCTCGCTAAAGCTATAATAAAGGCTAGCCAAGTATGCAAAACACGTATCGCGCACCCCGATCGACGTGATCAAGTACGTCAACGACTCAAAAGGCCTACGTTGTAACGTGGTGCTAAAGGTCCCTAACTGGCCTAAGACCATGAAGACAAGGACGTGAAGAGGCGTTCTTGTACCACAAGAAAAAATACCTTTCCCGGCGTAGGAGCTTGACGGAGCCCTGACATGATTGTATTCTCCTCCACTGGCCATTGCCTGAATGGAGGGAGTTTGAGCAGTGAAAATATCCGATCAGTATCACAGTCATAATCTACAGGCAACGGGATTAGGAGGATTGAGGAAATATTATTATGTCACGGGCCGCAGCTACCGGCGGGGAGGAGAAGGTCTTCAATGCCGAAGATAGGAGGGTTCGAGTCCTGAATCCTAGGAAGACTGCCGCCGGGGGTCACACAGTTCACGCCTCCATTTTCCAAGTACGTTCAGCGTGCGTAGCTTGCAACGTGGGAGCGACCGCCACGTGCTTCATGGTCGAACAGCTCAACAAAGGCGCTCATCCCTGCTACTATTTCACGACTGCCGCACAAGTTATTTTTTGCAGCGATTGTGGAGAGTATCGTTGGGTTCAGATTGTGTACGAATGGGATCCCAAGGATTCCATACCCAGTAGCACGTTCCTGCCGGATGAAACCTTTGTCGAGGAAAACAATGACCGAGGATGGCTGCGGGTGCCCGAAGACTACATAATGAACTGCAGAGAAGGCAAGGGAGAGTGGGATCGCTATCCGTATGATTATGGTATTATTGCTCTGCGCAAGGACAACTTGGAACAGAGACTAAAGAATGAGCTTGACAAGCTGAGCGGTGAAAATGCAATGGTGCGCGTCCCAATGGCCCAACAGCCGCGTATGGAGTCTGTTGACCAGGCGTTCCTGTGCGGGTTTCCTGCAGAGGTCAAGAACGAGAAGGTACTAGGTCACATGTACTGGGTGCCCGTTGATAAATCCAAGAAAGCTGAACCGCTACAGGATGACATCGGCTTTAAAAAGCGCAGAAGCCAGGAGAGAGAGACCTCTGCACTGTTCGCCATGCCGCAACGTCATATGAATGACGGCGATGGCGATGGAAAGAACAGAAGCAGCAGCAACCAGGACCTTGTAGTCAATCGACTCTACCGTCACTACATTTATACAAGCGGTGGACAGGCCGGCTCACCCGTATACTCCTACAACGATGAAGAGAACGAGTACGTCGTTTACGGCATTCATGTCGGATACTGGCGCTTTGAGGATGCCAAGTCGAATTTGTACTGCAAAGTAGCAGTGCGGATCCAGGAGGTCTACAAAGACATGAGTAAGTGGATCAAACTGAAGAAGGCCGACAAGCACACTGCCCCGCCAGCTCAGAAACATTCCACAGAAGGTAAGGTTCATTCCGTGAGACATGAGACTACTACTAAGTAGTTTAAAAAGCTAGGACGGTTCTACAGTAGAAATCAATTAAAAAAACACAATTACCACAAAAGACGGCAAGAATGAGTGCGAAAGAGATGGCAGGAACAGTAAAATAGCAACAGCAACAACCATGACGACGACCACGGCCACAACAACAACAACTACAAACCTGGAGCCACAATCTCACCCTCTGACCCATTAATTCCGGTTTCCCACTAGGCCGATTTTGCAGCCGACGTGGAATTGTATGACAAAATCGTGAAGATCGGTGCGAAAATTTCCCTGGTGTAACCAGTGTTGTCGGACAAGGTTCCGACCAGTCTGCGGCGAGTTTCTTAGTGGTTGGACATGGGAGTGGTGCGAGCCTCTGACCAATCACTATTGGCTTGTCACCATGACAGCAGAGAGTGTCTGTGCAGATCCTGAACTGGTTGCACTGGATCGCTACTTGACGCCAGCCCTTCACGCCGTTGACTTTGCAGCTCGTGTAAAAACGATCTCATTCCCGCTCTGGCGTCTACCACGGTCTAGCATGGCTGCCTACCATGTGTACGTGTGTGCACAGAGCGCCCCAGGCCAGCAAGAATAATCGCTTGTCGTTCGTTGTGTGTGAACCAGTAATCCGAATCATCCGACTTAGACAACCGATTTCATGTTGAAGTCCATATCATGCCTGGTCTCCGCTAGGTCGAGTTTTGGCCGATCGTGGTTTATCGATTATGGAATCATACAAAAATCCTCAAGATCGGCGTGAAAATTACCTGGTGATGTCGCAGGCGTTTCCGACAAATTTGCGTGGGTGTGTGTAAAGGTCCAATCCAGTTGGTCGATCTCATGTGGGAGTCGGTATCGGAGCGTCGACCGAAATATCGGACAGTATGGACCAGGCATAAGAGCATCGGCTGAAAATTCAGCCTAGTGGGAACCCGATATTACCCTTTTCCAATTGCTATTACAATTATACATGTTTCACACAGTTATACACCACTACTCAAAAACGGTCTATTGGCTACA